AACACCCGGCTAGGGTGCCACAAAGTAGTCATATGATCCATAATAATTGAGATCGTGATTGGAGGGCAAGGCTAACCGGGATGGGGAGGAACAGAGAAACTCACAACACAAACGCCATTGAGGTCGGCTCCTAGCTATCTCAACAAGTGTATCCAGCCAAACGTTTTCCTAGTCTTTCGGACTCCACAACCAGGGAGCATAGAGGCTCTAACCTAGACCAACTCCGAAAGAAGGGCCTCCATTCCTCTTGACCAAGTCATCGTCTGGTCTCCCCTCCTTTTCTTCCATCCACAACCCCGGCGCGCAAACAACGCACGTCGCGGGAGTTGGTGGGCTGGCATGAGCAACACGTAGCTGAACCATCGGAGCCTGGTGCGTGAAATAACGGTGTTGAGCGGTTCGCTTCTTCTATCTGCGCCATAAACAAGGCATCGAACATGCTCGTTGCTCCCATGGTGTTGCCACCAGCTATGAGCCAAACTACGAAGGCACCGGTAGTGAAACGTAACTAGCCTCCTTATGTCTGCCGATCTAATGGGTCAGGTTTCACATTCGTACAGTAGGGTCGTACGTATGGCTGCATTGTATACTCTACCCTTCAGGGAGATGGTGATGTCGCGCCGTCGCCATAGGTGGCGAAGGTAAGCAAAAGCGCCTTGTACTTTAGCTATACGGTTTGTCATGTCCTCTTTAATTCCAACGGCGCAGATGCCATTACCTAGGTGGTTGAACTTTTGAACGACTTTCAGCTGATCCTCACCAAGCATCAACGCAGGAGCCGGTCCCTGCCAATCCTGGAGGAAAGCTTTGTACTTGGGAGTACAAAGCATAGCCCGAAACGAATGACAGCCAGTGCTAATCTGTCCTGTTCCGCTTGGCACGTCTGGGAGCTGTCACAGATGAGGGCAATATTGTCAGCATACACCAAGTCAAGAAGTCGTTCACATTGGAGCAGCTCAACACCTTCTAAGTCGTGTGCTGTGAACACGCTCTTCATAACTTCGTCAATAGCGAAATTGAAAAGGTGACAGCGGGCGTCCTTACCAACAATTGCTTCAATAACACCAGTCCTCCACCTGCCTGTTCACCGTATCAGACGAAATAACTTCCGATTTTTACCAAGAGTAGTGGCCATTTCCATCTCTGACGCACAATGAGACCACCAAAATTCACGGTCTCTCTTCAGGCTAGCAGGGAGTTTTGCCCTCAGGTCTTTGCGAGTCTCGTTGTCTTCGCTTCCAACCGGAATGTGCCGACGAGCATCGATAAGTTCCACAGACTGCGAAGAGACCCAATGTCTGTTTTGGCTAGTGGATTTGCCACATGATGATTTACCTGCTGCTAGTAAGGTCTGGTGAACATGCGACCAGAGACCTTCAATTGTCTCCAGTGAGCGCTTACTCAACTCGCATGTCAGTGTACTTTGATAGGCATTCAGAACAGCTGGCTTTGTCAGTTGGCTGGTGTCAATTCGCTCACAGCGTCGTCGTGGGCGTCCGCCAAATGGCATCCGCATGTCAGCACATACAAGTGCACGGTCAGTGTGTGCACATGTGCTCCCAATCGAGCGACAGTTCTGGATGCAACCTCTCCAGCGGTAACTGATTGCAAGGTGCTCGATTTGCGTCCAAGGCTGGTGGGCGCCAAGTCACCCTCCGGCGAGTGTTTTGTCGGAAGTTGGTGCTCGTAAGAAATAAGCGGGCATCTTCACTCAAATGAAGTAACCGCTCACCTTTATCATTACAGGAGCCTACACCATGCTGACCGTCCAGATGCATTTCATCAGTGCACAACCTTCCGACTTGTGCATTCAGATCCGTCACCAGCACAGCAGTGTCCGAGCTTCTTCTGTGGCGAAGGAGCTGAGTCAGTTGGCGGTATAAGTCGTTTTTTACCGAATCATCGCTACAGTTTGTGGGCGCGTAGACAGCGATGATGAATAGACACCTATTAGTCCCGCGCGACTTCGAAGCTTTGAACGAGCCAGTCAATCGGATTGCACACATCCGGCTACTGATTGGAATCCAATCAAGCAGCGCAGCTTCAGCCCGGGGATTCAGGGCAATGCCAACACCAGCTTGGCCGGTGTTCGAAGCTGCATCGCCACCGGATAGGCGCAATGAGAAAATACTGCTGGTGTCACCTGAAGGGGATCGCAGAGTGAGCACAGAGCTCGAGTCTTGCAGGCGGGTCTCCGATAAGCAGCAGATATCGATGGAGAGGGTCTCTAATGTTTGGGCAAGTGCTGTCTGTTGACCGATCTGTAGTAATGTGCGTACATTGAGGCATGTCAATCTGAATGAGGATCGAGGGCTTCAAATGGAAGCCGATGAACTGGAGTAGACCGCTTGTTTGGACATGGGCTTGTCGACAGGACAGGCGTGACGCTTATCGATAAGGCAGGAGTGACGCTTCGCGTTTACATATGAG